AATGAAGTTACTAAACTGTCACAAAGCATGTAAAAGAAAAGTAGAGCACTGTGCACTTTGATTATTAATACTTGCTTAAACAACAGGACTACACTGATATTTCTTACTAAACTGGTTCAGAGAGTTGCTAAATATGGTGTGTAGCTTTTAGGTAAAGAACAAAAAGCCTGTGCAAGCCTAATGTTACATTTTAGCACAAGGCATAGCATAATAACAACAGTCCTTCCAGCATCCAAACAAAGTGAACATTGCAGCATCTTACTGGCAGGTTCTTTGCTGAGTCCAGATAAACCACCAGTACTGCTGATGACAGCCCATCATTGGCAAGGCTTCTATCTGCACGCACGCTTTGCAGCACCTTATTGCACAGGAGAGACAGAAAAGACTGTCACAATTCATATAGTGAAACAGTAAACTGAGGGGACTGGTCCCAAATTATGAAATTGAACAAAATCCAAAAAGGGCAGGGGGAACAGGGGTAAAGTCCAAGACAAAAATCCAGGGGCAGAAATTGGGATCGGTATCCAAAAGTCTCAAACACAGGTAAGCAATACAAACATGAACTCCGATCCAAGCTCTACACTGAAGCTAGATGGGAGGGGCTTGGTGGCCATATGACAAACTGACATATCCAAACTCCATTCTCAGAAGGAAATAAATACACAGTGACAGATAAACCTTCACTCTGTTTAGGCAAGAAAGTTTGTTTTGCAAGTACTGTACCTGGTCCAACTTCTCAGGAGTGGAGAGCAGAGAAAGCCATTCCAGTTTTAAGTGGAGTTTCCCAGTAGGAGCTTCTTCCAGGTCAAACCACTGCAATAATGTCACAAAGGTCAATGAGGAGCCAAACCCTTCATTTCTGACTTGAAAATGGTTTCAACAACCTTAAGGAGCTGTGCTGAAAGAGCACATAGGATTTTTTTTTTTTATTAAGAATGTGACATTTTAGGTAATATGCCTATTTGCTGTCTTATAGAGATGTCAAGGTTGATACCGCTCTCATATCTGCAGTGTAAATATGAAGCTAAATCCAACAGCTTACCTTAGCACTAAGAAATAGGGGGAACCAGCTAGCTCTGTCCAAATGTAACAAAATCTGCCCAAGATCATTCACTTAAGCTCGCAACTTATTAACTTGAGGTGAAAAACCATCACGTGTTTTTAGAGAGGTTATATACAGGACAATTTATTGATGGTGACAGTAACTTACTTGACATTTGGAACATTACATGTTAATTAGTGACACGTTTCCTGTTTTTATGCTAAGCTAACATAACCAACTGTATGGCATACTGTATGAGATGGTATCAACATTCTTCAAACTCTTGACAAGAAAACAAGCAAGCAAATGTTTCTATATGTGGAACTATTCCTTTAAAGCATGTAACATATACCTGAACAAATTATAAAGTAATGAACACTATAATTTGGCCACAGAACATGTCTTACTTCATCAACCTTCTGTTCTTTGTGCAGCTCAGTCATATCGATCATCAGGCTGTGAATAATGACAAATAATTACTCAAATTAGGATGGCAGGCAGTAAGTAGAGGAGCCACACCAATCGTTCTAAACAGAGGAGGTCCAGTTATCGATTGGCTGCTTTGTGTCATCAGTGCTGGGTGTAGTTTTACAACCTTGGAGCAAAAACAATCGACTTTGCCCTTGCGCCCAGAGCTGTGGGGCAACATTTCACTTTAATGATGTCCACTAGCACAGATACTGTAAACACACTTTCCCCCCTCAGGTTTCAATAGGTTATAATATGAAACATGAGTGCAAAGCCTTAGTTTGTCTATGTACAGCTGCCTGGTAACAACAAAGCCTTTTCTCAGCTATTAGTTGCATCACTGAGATGTAAAAGACCTTGTTTCTTATAAAAAATATGTGACAGGATCAGAGCACAGCAGGAAATGAGAGCGACTCACCTTCCCAGGAAGTCGTCTTTGTCTGGATCCTCATCAAACAGCTCAATCTCAAGATGCTGACCTGAGTGCTCGTACACCAGTGCCTGATGAACACAACATATTGATTCTTATTCAAACACACACACGTCAATAGACAGATTACTTATATTAATGCAAACTGGAAGAATAAACACCAAGTATAGTAGCATTTGAACTGCAATGATGTTCACCCCCTACTCTGACAGATATCCCACACTCGTCACCTCGTAAACTTCATTCCATTTGGGATTCAGACACTCTTTGACTGTCTTGCTCTGGAAAAGCTGGTTGCCGATCTGCAGGACACCATATGGGTCAGACTTGCCCTTTATCAGCCCTCCCAGAAATTTATCCTTCCCTTCCAGATCCTGAGCCTCCAAGAAGTGGATCCTCAGGACTCCCTGTGGAGACATGCACAGCAAAGCAATATGGATAACTGCTCTGAAATGCCTCAAACACTTCGAGGCCACAATGTTAGGCTGTGCTTAGGTTTACCTAAATCACAACCAGTATCAACAGCAAAACACTCCCATAGCATTAAAACTCCTCCACTATGCTTCACTGTGGGACTTACAGATGCAAATACCATCCACTGACCTTCTCTGCACCAAAGGAACCAAAAATCTTAAATATCTCAAACCCATCAGACCTACAGATTTCCACTGGCCCACAGACCTTGTGTTTTTTGACCCAAGCAATTTTCATCTTCTTACTGGTTTCCCACAGCCGTGGCTTTTTTGCAGGGGTATGACCATTAAGTCTTCTCTGAACAGTTTAATGTTAAGATGTGCACGTATCCTATTAACTGGGCTTTCTTTACTCAAAGAAATGTCAGAAACAGTGACATTTGTTTGTTTGTAGGAAAGTCCTTGCACTTGAAAAGAGAAACTTTGCCGTTGTTGCTTGATGAGTGACATAAATGAATACCAGAGTTGATTTCTCTAAAATGGTTCCACACTGAAGTCAGATAAAAGAAGGCAAAGGCATGAAGTAATTGGAGCATAAAATATCTATCATCAAATTAAACAGTGTATCCTCAACAATGATGCTCCATGCAAGGATATATGCTGATGTGTCTGTCTTGTTGCTATGGATACAGCCAACATACTGTACGAACACTGTCAGCTCCAAGAGGCATTTTAAAGCTCTCATTCAATTGGATTTAATTTGGAAACTCCATTAGTACCTTTGGAATTGGGAAGCGTAGCTTGGCCACTTCCACATCCTTGACCAGTGGGATGGTGATGCGGTGCGGTAAAACCAGGTAACTGTAGATAATGTCTTGAATCAGACTGTCAGAGAAGCCACTGTGATGACAGGACGGAGGGTTGAGAGAAGGAAGATAAACAGAATGATGCAATGAATTATTTAAAACACAGTAAGGGTGTCCTTGGGTTATAAATGTTCTCTAATCTTAGATTAGTACAGTACAGTTCTGCTTCACATGTAAGATGATAGTAGGAAAATTGGAGTCAGTTCAAGCATGTTGTTGTTGCTCAATGACAAACATCTGAATGTCTGACTCACAAATAATTCAACAAAGCATGACAACAACAATGACAGTGAGGGCAGAGAGTGGCATTACTGCCAGGCTTTCCTTTAATCACTTAGCTGCCATTGCACAGCAAGAAAATCACAATCACTTCTTGAAAAAATGAAATTACAAAAAAAACAAACATCTGGTTTCCTCAAAGAAAAGGTATTGTGGTTACAGAACACCACCCATATATCATGATATGGATATTCTAACCAAAGTGTTCATAAAACTGCCTGAGCTACCAAGTGAAAGTGATCACAGTATTCTGAACCTCATGACTAAATCTAGAAAATGGTCGGCAAGAAACACTTAAGTGCTTCCCAGGTGGGAGACAACAACACAATCAGTTGACAAGAAGCCTGATAAATCAGACACTTCCTAACACACAGGAAATGATGTGCCTATCCCATGTGCTTTCTACTTGTCCAGAAGTACAGAGCTTCTAGTAGCTATTTAACAGCTTGTATGTAATTGGTGTTATAACTTTAGTGAACCTTTATTTGAGGTTCCTTGCTGAATAAAGCCCAGGATGCTTTCAGGCAGTTCCATTAAAAGGTATTATGTTCCAGAGGGGTTGGCTAAAGCGAGAACAGCCACTTATCAGACTGATTAGACCAACTGCAGATTATAAAGCTACAAATCAACAGTTACTAAATTTCTCTTTACTGTCAGACCCTACAGCAGATAGGTCACAGCTCACTGAACCTCATTGTACACCAGCAAATGCAGGCAAAAGGCCAGTGTGATCCATCAGGGTGAAAGCACCTTACTCACAAAGTCCACCAGCACACAGTGGGCTTAATTATATAAACTGTTTTTAAACCAGGCATGCATATTAATTAAGAAAAGGATGGGGATACTAATTGTTTTTAAATGCCAGTCCATCCAGATGTCAGCAACTAGTAGCTCAGAGTTGTGAGTAGCCAGCTGTTCAGAATTTGTGGGAATTTCATGTAGGTGTTAGTCCAGATAACACAGTCAACGTTGCAAATCACTTCCAGTACTAAGGAATTTATAATGCATTTTTATAAATGCCTGCAAATTATTACACCTTTCAGAACTGTCCAAAAAATCCCTTAAAAAGAGAAACCTTCTATTCTGAAACACCACAGATGCAACCTGTTCTGACAAAAGCTACAATGAAATAAGCTCAATGTATTTGGCTCAGGATAAACATTGACTTGATCAATGCTCAGCTTATCCTCCAATGAAACGGCAGGCTAAACCTCTGTGAGCCAATCAGAGACATTATGATGATCTAGTGGGGGGACTGATCACAGATGAAGGTTTCTCCAGCCGAGAGCTGGGGGTGTAAAGGGATTTCTGATGCATCAGTACATATTGCTGGATTCCTATTGCTAGAGTAAATACTGCACCACCCCCAAGTATTCAGTCATTGTAGGACATTACTGAATGCACACACATAGATTCATACCATATAATCTACTGTATGTATATGGTAGAGTGTGTTTTTACTTGCTGCTGAGCCATAACAACCAGCTATTTGTGGTCAGAGGATGTATCCTAATGACTCTAAAGAGCTGATAATTCTTCCTCTGGCACCTCCATCGGGTTGACATTTTTGTTTAACAAAATGTCAATACAAATATTCGATCAATTTCCATGACACACACACATTCACTTTAGGACAAAATTAGGATCAAATTTTTAATTTGTCCAGTGTTTTGGTTTGTATGCTAACCTTTAACTGAACTCACCACAGTGTGAGTACAGCCGCACAGAGATGCTAACGTGGCTGTAGGGTCCCGATTCTCTTAACAATGACATATTACAACATACAAACAAGTAAGGCATATTTTTTTGCATAATAATAATAATAATAATAACAGGGTTTAACTGGGCGTGTCTACTGTACAAGTAGACAGCTGATGCCATTTGTTTGCTGCTGCATTCAAGGAACTTTGTTGCCGCAACTACAATTTCACCATCTGGGCCTCAGCTACTCCCACATGCACACTGCACAAGTTACATGAATCCATTTCACCCCCACAGAGGGTTAAGGGAGATCGGCCACTGAGCCCCGCCTGTGTCAGCATGTCTGTCCACATCAGCAGGGCATAAGGCGAGAAGTTGTCAGACTATATGCAGCGTTCATACATGTGTCACATGATTTGCGGTGTAAATAATGTATGAACCACTCAGCAGCAAGTGACTCGATAGTAAGTCTTAATCAACTCTTATTTACTCTCTGCTGAGCCCACACAACCACCCAAGGGGAAAATTTGCTTACAAGCGAGACAAACTGAGCAAGGATAAAGAAACGGTACATTTCCTGATCTGACCCATTTTAGCCCTGTTACATCATTCAGCTGGACCTTATTCATAGTTAATATGTGCATTAAAACATAAATCACAAGATCCTGTCTTTTCTCTTTCAAGCACTTTGCAAGAAAGATCAGGTTCATCTCAGTTTGGTAATCAACAGTAACAAGGACAAAGACACCTGAAGCATTCAGCAGGTTACGGGAAAGACTCCAAAAACCTTTTTAGTGAAAATACCTTCAGTACATTTGGTGGGATTTATCTTCTCTAGTAAAGGCTGACACCAGTGAAAATAGACTCATAAACACATATGAAAGTATCCCCGATACATTTTCAGATGAAATGCATAAGAATTGACTTTACTTAGAAACTTCAAAGTGGTTCATAAGTAAACCTTTGAATCCGTCCCACCTGAAATCCAAAGACAGCACAGATGAATGGCGTGAAGGAATAATAGAAACCAAACATCACAAATTTCCTCATCTTTAATTACATTTTTTTCTCAAAGAGACAAAGATAGTTCCTTAATAAACAAGAAAAGCCAGTTTGAATTTACTTACTTGAGCCCAGGAATGTGCAGTACATTGGTGAGGCCGGTCCAGTTTATGTCCATAAGCTAAAAGAAGAAAAACGAGGGCATAGCAGTAAGAGAGGAAAGTGTAAATTACACTGAATTGATTTAAACACTTAACTTCATTGTTTCCTGCCTTATGTGCTACATCTACCATTTGGCTTCTTGTTTTCAGGCCAAGAATCCCTGTTTATTAGTAAAGGCAGAGACAAAGACTCCTACACAAGTTTCAGCAAAATAGTGTAAATCAAAAGTTTTACTACTCTTTTCTACTAAAAGCAATACATCATCTACTGTATTGTTCCACTTAAGAAAAATATGTAACTTATTCAAGCTGGTGGTTATGTCCCTGCACACTGGTTTGGCTATGGACTTTAAATAAAAAATAAAACAACAACTATTTCTGGTCTGAAGCTTTAATGGCTTTATTTTATTACATATGTTCCCCTCGAGTAAACTATATTTGTACAGTTTACAAGCTGCAAAAAGGAGACAGAAAATACAGCACTGTAAATGGAAATTAATGCAAGAACACATGCTTAATGAAATATTTATAAAAGCAGCAGAAGCTGTCTGGGCTCGCATCAGTTTGTAATTAGGTTAGGGAGGACAGAATTTCCAATTTTATTGATTTTCTGGGTAAAACTGGAAGCAGACGTGTCAAATCTGTTAAAGGGAAGACAGTTAATACAGAGTCAATTAAAGAGAGGCAGCAAGAGAGCTGCCTCTCAGTGAGCGATGACCTGTTTTTGCCTCCAAACTGAAGGAGTGGTGTTTTCCTAATGAGCCTTTTCTGCACAAGCTGCTTACACTGCAGCAGATGCACTGAGTGCTGCAGGGGAGAGGGGAGCACTGCAGGGCTGTCAGTGATGTCGGGGATGGCTGCAGGTTGTGGGAACACACCCCCGGCTGCACGGCAATTCTCTGAACCAACCAAAAGATGGACTATATTTGGATACAAGGCTGTACTGAATAAACAGCACTCTCTTCCTACTATAAACCTAGCAGCCTGCATTCAAGTCTGAACTAATCAGTTAAATAAATACTGAGAATTACTTTTAAAGTGGACAAAACCTGAAAAAATACCCAACATTTACAGGCTTCAGCTTCTTATATGTGATGATTCCCTATTTCTCTGTGCTCAATATTATTATTAATTTGATACCTTTATGTCTTTGAACTGTCCATGAGACAAAATAAGTAAATGTAAAGGAATGAGATTAGGCTAATTCTCTTTCCTGTCAACTGTTAGATGAGAAGATCAATACCACCCTTGGGTTATTTGGAATCCATGGTACACAATGTTGTGATGTTTTACCCAAAGGTTATTTATTTTGCTATTTATTTTCTCTCTTCTGCAATGTTCCTAATTTAAAAGGAGCAAGAGCACTGAGAGGCATAAGGGTGAGTGTGTGTATGTGTGTACACATGGGACTGTACAACAGCTTGTTAACTGGAGCTGCTGCCTTCTCAATTCATCCCCTACAGTACAATCCCCACCTTGAGCTTTAGCAAATTGTCTGGGTTAGAAAAATCAGCCAAAGTAGGGCTGGCATTATCTGTAGCTATTTAAAGCTCTGCTATAGTTCCACTGGGTGCTCCTTTTTGGAATAAATTGGTCAAACATTTTTCAGCTGTGCAGCAGTGAGCTCTGCCCGGGGAGACTGATGACGTGCACTGGAAAATATTAGACATGCAAGAAACTGGCAATGTGAAATGCAAATCATGCAAAGTGATCAATATTGTTTACATTATATGAGCATCGACAATGTCGAAAGCAATGCCAGGAAAGAAAGGCAGTCTGAAATTAAATTGGGACTTACAGTAGGGCTATAAAATAAAATAAAAATTACACTGTGATTCAGCTACTGTATAAAATTATTGTTCACAGTCAGATTTATATCTACAATTTTTACCAGAAAGAGGCAAACAGATATGTAAAGCAGAAAACCAAGGAGGAATCTGTTTTATTAGGTGCAATATCATAAATCTATCACAGAGACAATAACATACACTATAAACCAAACTGAGACACAAACGATAGAAGGATGTTTATGTAAGTTTTGTTGGCAAAATAGTGAGTATAAAGAGCAGAACAAAGGAAGTACAGAACTTTTCAAATGTCATGCCAAATCACAGCATAAGACTGGATGTGTTGCACTGTCGCACAGTCACAGGTGCTGGAAGATGCTGGTGCTGGTTTTGTATTTCAGTATACAAATGACAGTTTAATTACCTC